TAGAAACTAAACAGATGGGTGGGCCAGACAGCTCAGTGGAATAAAGTGCCTGCTTAGGCAGAATGTGGTGGCCGGGGTTCCACCCCCAGCGTGCCATGCCAGGCCCACCCCACACACACACACACATACACACACACACGCTGAGACCAGAACTGAGACGGAGCATGGTGGTGCATGTCTGTAATCCCAGCTCCTGGGAGGCTGAAAACAGGAGAATCACTATGAGTCCGATCTGCGTAGTGAGACCCTGTAGATCCTGTACTAATACATAAAATAAAGACATAAAAAAGGAAACTAAACACACACTAGGCATGATGCTGCATGCCTTCAATGCCAGTACAGGGGGAAACTGAGGCAAATTTGAGCCCAGCCTGGGCAATGTAGACCCAGTCTCAAAATAAAAGTAAAAAGAGCTGGGAGTGTAGCTCAGGGCAGACATCCTGGGTTCAATCTCTTACCACAAAAAAAGAAACAGAAAAGTGGAAGAGAGAGGGGGAGGACAGGGAAGAAGGGAAAGAGAGAAGAGAAGGGAAGGAAGGGAAGGGGAGAGGAGAACAGAGGAAGAAAGAAAAAGAGGAGAAAAGGTAGAGGGGAGGACAAAAGGGGGAGGGGAAGGGGGTAGAATCTTTAGTATTCTCACAGAACCAAAAGGACAGGAATTAGAGTTCATGATCTGGCAAAGAGGAGGACCCATGAACTCTCAGCCCCCTGGCTGTGCTGCCAAAATACTACACATTAGTAGCACTGTGCTAGAAATGAACCAGTGAAAACTCGGAAGCCCAGCTTCCAATCAGCTCAACTCTTCTTGGACTGAAGTGATCCGTCCCTACCATAACTGCCTCTCAGCACAAAAGCGAATTATTTCCAGAAGAAGTTTTCAATCTTCACTGTTATTTTCTACAGACATTTGCTAGTGCTTAAATGAAAAACAACTAGACAAACAAAATTAAAGCAAGAGGAGCTGAGGGTGTAGCTTGGTGGTAGCGCTTGCCTAGCACACACAAAGCCTTGGGCTCCATCCCCAGTAGCATCAGGAAAAGAAAAACCAAACATCAAAATAAAGCAAAAAAAAAGAAAAAAAGAAATGTTTAAAGCAGATACTGGGCTTTGGAATTTTTAAGTTGGCTAGTATTAGGGTAACAAATATTTTTATTTATCCAACTTCTTTATGGATGAAGTAAATTCAAATTTTAGATCTTGGAAAAAGATATAACCCGGCCCTATTCACAGAGTTTCTAGCCTATCAACCATCTAGTATTCAAGAAACATGCAATTAAATAAGCATACTCAACAGATTCCAATGCAAGCTATTTTCAGGTCACTCTGAGAAATACTAATATACTATTATGTAACACTGCTACAGAAAGCAAGTCCTGCCTATCATTTCATAATGCATTGTCTTCCTATCCTGTAATTCAAATTAATTACATTATTTTACAAGACAAACTCTTGAATGTAATTTGAACCTTTAGAATACATCATAGCTTGGAAAGCTGCTGTCATTTTATATTAAATGAAGGGGAATAAAGAAAGTCTGTTGCTCTGATAGAAACTACCCAACAGGGACATGTTCTAGTGTCTGTGTTTCCAAAGCATACAGGACAGCCCCTTGACCGTTTTTATAGTCTCAGCTCTGGAAATTGTCGCGTGTAAGCATTTATTACCTCTCTCTTCCAGGATTTTGGCAGCATCTGTTGCGACTCTATAAAACAATGACAATTTGCACATCGGTGAAGCTTATAGTCAAGTAGGTGAACTTAGCAGTCGAGCAAATAGGACAAAACACAGCATTTGAAATGAGGCTCAAGGGTCGGCCAAATAGCTCAGTGGATTAAAGCACCTGGCACAGGGGCCAGGGTTTCATCCCCAGCCCTGCTGTGCTGGCCCCGCCTCCAGGGCGCAA